TGGGAGGCTGAGGCTGGTGGATCACCTGAGGTCAGAAGTTTGAGACCAGTGTGGCCAACATGGTGAAACCCTGTCTCTACTAAAAATACCAAAATTTAGCTGGGTGTAGTGGTGGACGCCCATAATCCCAGCTGCTCAGGAGGCTGAGACAGGAGAATTGCTTGAACCTGGGAGGCGGAGGTTGCAGTGAGCTGAGATCCACCATTGCACTCCAGCCTCGGCAACAAGAGCGGAACTGTCTCAAAAAACAAACAACTACACGAGTTCTACATGCATGGCTTTTTAAGTGTGAGTTTCCATGTAAAGGCCCTTTGGAGATTCCTCACTCGCAGCGTTCGGGTCTCATCGACTCCTGTGTCTCTGGCATACAAGTTTGGGGGTGCGGAGTCTAAGGTGGGCCGGCAGAGGCTGGCAGCAGGTCATGGTTTTGCTGTGGCAGGGCTGTGCACAGGGTCTGTACGCAGGCTGGAGTCCTTGTTTTGCTGAGGACAAGCAATGGTACTTCCATCACTGCCAGCCCTCTGGGTTGCCCCCTCGGTCTGGGCCTAACCTCCGCTGCCCTGAGGTGAGCGATGGCAGGTGGATTTGGACCTGAGGTGGGAACAGTGCAGGGGCCGGGGGAGTCACTGAGGAACACAGATCTCAATCCCAGCAAGGGGGCTGAGGCCAGGTCCCCTGGGCCCATTGGAGCCCAGGTTGGAGATGTAGCTGGCAAGAGCACATGTGAGCAGGAAGTTGTGTTGTGGGTGCACGATTCTGAATGAAATGCAGGTGCACAGTGTGATTACGCCCTGGGAGGGACCCTGCAGCCAGGTTTTCTTCTAAACAGATGTCATCATGGCGAGACGGCAGCGGGCTCTAAAGCAGCGGCCTAGAGGAAGAAGGCAGGGCCCTGGGAGCCCCAGCAGCCGAGGGAGGACGGCCAGGTTTGCGGGTGTGGGGTGGCTGCTCCACAGGCCATTGGAGTCTTTCAAGACTGAACAAGAGAGGCATTTTAAGAGAAAAAAAGTGAACATATCCTTAAATACCAATGCTGTTTCTGGTTGTGATCTCTTTCTCAGGTGAATGTGTACGTGCTGGGAAAGACGTTTCTTCTCTTGGCAAGAGAGCTCTGCATCAATGCGCCGGCCATAGGTAGGCATCTGGGTAAGATGGGGTGTCCAGCAGGCTGCTGTAGGGACCAGCGTGACAAATATCTTTTGAGCAGTAGAGGGAAATCCTGTCCAAGTACGGGACCCCTCAAGGTAAGAAATGTCTCCTAAAGCTGCTAGGAGCTCAGAGGCTCGCTCTGTTGTCCAGGCTGGAGTGCAGTGGCACAGTTACAGCTCACTGTAGCCTCAAACTCCTGGCCTCAAGCAATCGTCCTGTCTTGGCCTCCCAAAGCACTGGGATTACAGGCATGAGCTACCACACTTGGCCTGGGGCTTTCTTTCTGCTGCAAAACCAGAAGGCCCATTGTCAGTGCCTGTCAGGTGCGCAGGAAACAAGTGCCGTGTGCTGGGAGCATCTTGTGTGGACAGGGTTTAAGGAACACACCTGGCACCAGGTGCCCCTGGACAGATGGGGACAGTGGGGCAGCTCCTGGACGTGCTTTCCAGCCACAGCCCTCTTGTGTGTTTTTTTCTGCTGCTTTTGTTCTGTGTTGAGTGTCCAGTGTGTGCGAGCTTATGGAGCTCCTGTATGCCTTTCTCGACATGTGTTACATGTAAGTCCTGTCTCCCCCTCGAGGCAGCAGCAGTGTTCACGTGTGCAGAATCCGACCAAGGGGAAAAGTCTAGAAGGAAAGAACCAGAACAGCACTCACCACCTGATGGTTCCAACTGACCTTTTCTTTCTTTACCAAGCGGATAACTGGTTTCCACGGCCCGCTTAGATCCCTTTCTTACTTTACTGTCTGCATCTAGGAGTGTCTGTCCTTGTGGAAGAGAAGCGAGTGGGGCTGGGCGACCAGCAGGACTGAGCAGCGTGAGCTGCAGCAGCAGAGGCATTCGGCCTGGGCTCTCTCCCAGGTGCTAAGGGGGGGTCGTCCCTTCTTTCAGGGGCCAAACAGGTTTTCCAGAAAGCAACTGCCTACCAGGGCATGCAGAGTGGGAGGACAGTGGCAAGTGGTGGGAGAGCCTGCTCCACCCCAGTCCATACCTGCAACAAGCCGTCCCATAGTAGCGTCCCAGCTAGTGACACTGTGTCCCCATGGGTCCAGATCGCTGGGCCCAGCAGAATGCTCCCTCTGACAGCCCATTCATAGTGTGGGACTCTGAGGTGCTAGTGATGTGTTAGGACATACAACCAGGCACCTTTTGTTTCCATGGTGGCCCACAAGCACCAGAGACCCAGGGGACGGATGGGCTTCGCTGGGGCACACTTTGCTTCTAACCATATAGCGTGTTCAGCATGAAAGGTTTTCTCCTGGGGATGGGTAGGAGCTCTTCTGTTGCATGAGAAAGAGAACACCCCACTGTGCAACTCCCGTAGCCATTACTGACACATGGTTGTTATTTTAGACAACCTTTATTACACAAGTCCACTATTTTAAGTGACTTTGCCAATTTTAGATTTAAAGGGAGGGTCTCAAGTTAAGCTTGGAACACTTAGAATCCAAGAGGGTGGCAGGAACATCCGGCCCCTCAAAGCAGGTGTCGTGGGATCTTGGGGCCTGTCTTGTGCCCTAAATCTTCTTCCACCTGAGACATGCACCTCAGCACACCAGAGATGCCTGAGACCCCAATTCCTGCAGCTCTGGCTGTGTGGAAAAGGCATCTACTTCCCAGAATCAAGGTTCAGCTGGCTACATGCCAAAGACAAGGACTCCCGGGCTCTGGCTGCGTGGAAAGGCGTCTGCTTCCCAGAATCAAGCTTCAGCTGATTACATGCCAAAGAGACACAAGGTGAACTGCGGCTTGTGTGGTGTCGAGCAGCAGTCGCCATCTGACGGTCCCTCTACTCACTCCGACCTGCTGTGGCCTCCCTGGGCTCCTCAGGCGTAGAAGATGAGCTCCGGGATCTGCCCACCCTGGACGCCTGTCCCGTTGGTGCTGTCCGAGGAGCACTGGAACTGGAAGGCCACTTTTCCACACTGCACTTCCGTCATCCCCTCCTGCCCAAAGTAGCTGAGCTCGCTGCCGTCCAGGACGGCACTGGCCGTGTAGAAGGTGTCTTGTTCAACCTGAACTGGGTGTTCAAACCAGACTGGGAACGTGTTACTGGATCCGTCCGACATGAACTTGGTCAGGTTCTGGGCCAGGACCACTCCAAGCCGCTTGAGCTCAATCTTCACACTGTACTCGGCCTTCCCAGAGCTGGACCCATACAGGCCCAGCCCCGCGATAAATACCCTCCTGTCCACCGCGAACTGGATGCTGTCACAGCGCCCGCGGTACCGCCACTGGTTGCTGCGGTACGCAGAAGACTGGAACCGGTGGCACCTCTGCGGGGCCAGGCCCTTCCTCTTGGTCAGGGGGAAGTCCAGGCGGGGCTTGTTGGTGGCGGTGTACCACAGGAAGATGCTGTGGGTCTCCTCCAGAGTCAGGATGTCTGACTGGGCAGCGCCATTGGCAAACTCCTCTAGGGTCATCGTTGGAATTCGTACCAGATAGAGGGCTCGCCCCAAAACATGCCTCTTGTTTCGTGGGGTGACTGGCAGCCCCTGCCTCTTGCACTCTGCCTCAGCCCAGTTCAGGACGGCCTCGAAGACCACTGCCTCCTTGGTGTTGAGGGCCTCCCGAGTGATGATGATCTCCAGCGTTTGCCGGTCTATCTCGCAGAAACCTTCGGACCGCAGGGCCATCTCGGCCTGTGCGTCGATGACCTCCCAGCAGCGCTGCGTCAGCTCAGGCTCCTCAAACAGCCGGCTCTGGGACAGCAGGACGCAGGCGTTCTTGGCTTCCAGACTTGTCTCCAGAAAGTTGACACAGGCTTTTGCCAATGCTGGGACAATGTACTTCTTAGCAGCGTACAGCGTGGCCAGCACTGTGTCAGCTTCCAGATCGATCTCATCACTGTACATGTACCTAGGCAAGGGAGGGCCCGGGTCAGGGGCTGGCTCCTGAGCATCCATTGCGGGGATGCGAGTGCGTAAGGAGCCCATCAGCTCCTGCAGGGTTCCCCTCAGAAGCCACGGGAAGCTGCCTACAACGGACCCACCCATCGTTCCCCAGCACAGAGTGGACCTACTTTAACAGAATCAGAAAGGCTGCAGGCTCCACATCTGGAATGTGAATTTCAGATTTGACTTCCGCCAGGTCCCCGTAGAACATGGCATAGAAGACTGAGCTGCCAACCGCCAGAACGTACTGGGAGGAGAAAGCGCCGCGTGAGCCTGGCTGTCCCGCGGGCTGCAAGGCAGCCGCACAGTGGGCGGGGCACGCGTTCCCGGAGGGGCCGCCGCTACCCACCTTATGGGCGGGCACCGTCCTGGTCGCCCCCGGGGGCCCCACGACGAAGTGCACGTCGGCCATGAGCTCGTTGTTGAACATGAGCGCGTTCCTGCAAAGGCAGAGGCATGGGCTGGGGGCGCGGGCGCGCGCGCGCGCGGAGCGAGCAGGGACCGCGGGGGGCGGGCTCACCTCTCGCGCAGTGTGGGGCGGCAGCACCGCCAGCCGGGGCTCTCCGGGTGGTGGTTGCCGAGCGTGGGCGGCGCGGGTGCGGGCGGCGGCGGCGCGGGCGCGGGGGCGCTGGGTGGGCTGCGCGGCCCGGCCTTCCTGCCCGTGGTGGCGCCCGCGTTGCTGTTGGTGAGGTCTGCGGCCGTCGTGCTGGCGGGGGTGTAGAGCTCCGCCGCCATCTTCGCGGGCGGGGCGGCGGGGGCGGCCTCGGCGCCTGTGGACGCCGCGCCCCGCGCCCTCGCGCCGCGCCGGGGCCTCGGGAGCGGCTCTGCAAGCAAAAGCAGGGAGGTCAGGCACTGAGCGACGCGGCCGTGCAGGCAGGCCAGGGGCAGCAGCATGGGCGGCGGCGCCGCGACCCGCAGGACGGCCACCCGCGCCCGCGCCGCACCCCCGCCCCTGCGACCCTGCCCGAGCCCAGCCCAGCGCAGCCCGGCCAGGCCCGGCCGCAGGGGGCGCCGTCCCGCCCGCCCGAGCTCGTACCCGCCGCGGCGCCGGCGCGTCAGGCTGCGTCACGTCGCGTCACGCTGCGTCAGGGCCGTGCTTCGGGCGACGACGCTGCCGCGCGGCCCCACCCCCAAACTCTGCCGCCTCGAGGCCGCCGACGCTTCTGCCCTGCGGAAGGCGGCCCCCGGCTGGCAAGCTGCTCGCGCGCTGAGGACCTGGCTGCCCGGCGGTGCCCCCGGCCTCGCGGTGCCGTGCGCCGGAACTTGCGCCCGCCGGCTCTTCAGCTCGCGACGCTTTGGGAACGCAGGGGGACCTGCTTGTCTGTGACTTTGGCCGTTTGCCTTCTGGAGTCTGTGTCTTCGGCCGCGGCTTGTATGGTCCGTGGCATTCCTCGTTCGTACAGACGCCTCGCGATTTTGCTCATTGCGGACGCCAGCGGCAAACGGTCGCAGAGAGCGCGGTCCATCCTGGTCTGAGCACTTTACAGGGGTAGGCGCTGCTATTTTCCTCAAGAAAACGGGCACAGAGAGGTTAGTCGCGTTCTGAAGGTCACACAGCGTGCGGGTGGGCAGGTCCGGATCTGGCCTTGGGGCGCGCCCCGCCTCCGTGGTTCTGCCTGTGGATCACAGTCGCGGCTCGCTCCCTGTGGGGCCTCTGGTCTCGCAGCCTGCGACTAAACCTGGGAGGTGCTTGGCACTGGCTTTGCGGATGAAACCAAGCTTCAGAGGCGGTGTCATCTGGCCCGGCCGCGCAGCTGGTGCGCCCCAAGCTCACGTGCGAGGCCTGGCTGTCAGGAGGGCTCCTTCCCGAGGACGCACACGAAGCCTCCTGGACCTCAGGCTTCAGACTCTGAAAACCTCCGTGTACAGGAAACCCCACAGGACGCAGCCAGCAGCTCGGATCAGTGGGCGCACCTATCGCCCTGGTCCTGGGCTAAACAGTGAACAGGAGCTCGGTGGCTCGGCGGTGGTTACAGTTGTAGTAAATGATCCCTGGGAGAATCCCCTTCATAAGATATTTGGTGTATTTTCAACAAAGCACTCTTCAGGATGGATGAGGGACTACAAGTCAGGGAAGAAAAAGGTTGACAACCCAGTTTAAAAAAAAAAAAATGGCGAAAGATATGTGCAGATGCTATGCGGTGGCCCAAAGGTGCACACGTCATCAGTTCTCCAGGGAATGGGGCACCCGGCCCCTAGGCTGCTGAACTTGAGACTTGGAATGCCAGTGTTGGAACGAGGAGACGCTGGAGATCACCTGCTGCAGGTGGGCGCGTAACTCGCTCGGCACAGCTCATCCCTTTGGAAAACTGCAGCCTGCACGAGGGCCCAGAAGGTCCGAAGAGAAAGTGTAGGTGCATCTGCCAAGGACACACCCACAGAGGCCACAGCTTCGATTTCATAGTGTGGGACCTCACTGGCAAAGACAGGTTGGCTGCTGTAGTTTCCATCCCAGTCGTCTGTCTCCATAGAAAAAGGTAACGGCATAAGCAGTTTCCGGGAGAAATGCAAGTGGAGACAGTCCACGTGTCCGTCAGCAACAGAAAGGATCAACAGGTTGTGGTGGATCCATAATACAGTGAGAAGGAATAACTTACAGCTACATGCGAGAACTGGGTGACGGCTGTCTCAGAGAGGGTGCCAGGATGGAACTGCTGAGCCCTCAGAGGTAGTCAGTGTCTTGATCTTCGTAGTGGTGTGGGGTGTGTGAATAATCATTCTCACCCTTAGAAAAAAACCCATCCTTTGCACTTTGATTTTTAAATTACAGTGTTGGCTGGGTGTAGTGGCTCACACCTGTAATTCCAGTACTTTGGGAGGCTGAGATGTGCGGATCACCTGAGATCAGGAGTTCGAGACCAGCCTGGCCAACATGGTGAAACCCCGTGTCTACTAAAAATACAAAAATTAGCTGGGCGTGGTGGGTGCCTGTAATCCCAGCTACTAGGGAGGCCAGGGCGGGAGAATGGCTTGATCCAGGGAGGCAGAGGTTCAGCCTGGGTGACAGAGCGAGTCGCCATTGGCCAGGCCGGTTTTGAACTTCTGGCCTCAAGTAATCTACCTGCCTAGGCTTCCCATAGTGCTGGGATTACAGGTGTGAGCCAACGCACCCCGCCTGTCTTTCTTCTTTGTTTTTGATAATGGTCATCCTAATGGGTATGAGGTAGTGCCATATGGTTTTGGTTTGCATGTTCCTGATAAATAGTAGTGAGGAGCATTTTCTCATGTGTTTGTTGGCCATTTGCATGTCATGTTTGGAGAAACATCTGTTCAAGTGCTTTTTTTTTTTTCTTTTTTGAGACAGAGTCTCGCTCTGTTGCCCAGGCTGGAGTGCAGTGGTCAGGGGTCACTGCAGCCTCCGCTGTTCAGGTTCAAGCGATTCTCATGCCTGAGCCTCTCTAAAAGCTGGGATTACGAAAGCGTGATTTGCCCGTTTTCTAATCGGTTTTGTTCTGAGTTGTAGGAGGGGTTTTTTTTGTTGTCGTTATAAGACGAGGTTTCACCGTGATGGCCAGGCTGGTCTTGAACTCCTGACCTCAGGTAATCCACCCCCATCGGCCTCTCAAAGTGCTAGGATTACAGGCGTCAGCCACTGCGCCCGGCCCGAGTTTTTTGTATTTTCATGATAACCCGCTATGAGATAGATGGCCTGCACATACTCTCTCCCGTTTCGTAGATCTTTTCTGTGAAGGGATTCCTTTGCTGTGCAGAAACGCTTTAGTGTGAGGTCATCCGTGTCTATTTTTACTTTGGTTGCCCGTGCTCTTGGCAATGATTTCTCAAACATGACACCAAGACCAGTGTCACAGAGTTTTTCCCTATGTTTTCTTCTAAGGGTTTTATAGTTTGGAGTCTGCGTTCAGGTGTTTGATGGGTTTTGAGTTAGTTTTTGTGTGTGACGTGAGGGTGTCTTTATTCCTTTGCGTATGGATATCCAGTTTGTCCAGCGCTGCTTACTGAAGAACCAGCCTTTCCCCCTCGTGCGTTCTTGTCACACTCGTGGAAGGTCCCCTGCCCGTCCATATCATTTCTGGTCCTGTTCTGGTCTGTAGGTCTCTCTTTATGTCAGCACCATACTGGCTGTTAGGCTTTTTAATTCTTTTCTTGATAGTGGTAATTTATTTGCTGCTTTTTTTTATTAGTCCCTTTGCCTACTTTAAATAATTTCATTAATTTTTTTTTTTTTTTTTGGAGACGGAGTTTCGCTCTTGTTACCCAGGCTGGAGTGCAATGGCGCGATCTTGGCTCACCGCAACCTCCGCCTCCTGGGTTCAGGCAATTCTCCTGCCTCAGCCTCCTGAGTAGCTGGGATTACAGGCACACGCCACCATGCCCAGCTAATTTTTTGTATTTTTAGTAGAGACGGGGTTTCACCATGTTGACCAGGATGGTCTCGATCTCTTGACCTCGTGATCCGCCCGCCTCGGCCTCCCAAAGTGCTGGGATTACAGGCTTGAGCCACCGCGCCCGGCCAATAATTTCATTAATTTTTAGTTTTCTGTTATTTGACTTAGTTCATTATTTTCATTGCTTCCTTAATTTTTTTTTTTTTTTTTTTTTTCCAGCTGGAGTCTCGCTCTGTTGCCCAGGCTGGAGTGCAGTGGCGCAGCAACCTCTGCCTCCCAGGTTCAAGCGATTCTCCTGTCTCAGCCTACCAAGTAGTTGGGATGACAGGCTCATGCCGCCATGCCCGGCTGAATTTTTGCATTTTTTGGTGAGATGGGGTTTCACCGTGTTGCCCAGGCAGGTCTCTAACTCCTGAGTTCAGGCAGTCCACCCGCCTCGGCCTCCCAAAGTGTTGGGACTACAGGCGTGAGCCACCATGCCTAGCCCATTCATTGCTTCCCTAATTGTACAAAGCACTTAAGTTAATAAAGTTACCTGAAGCATTTCACTTTAATTTCCAATAGTGTTTGCAGGTGAGGGGACTGTGTTTTTGCTTATTTTTAGTTTTTCGCACGTGGGGTCAAAGCGCATGTCCTATGTGCTATTACCTGGAGTATGTTGAAGGTTTCTTGGTTCTGGTCATTTTCCTAACTGTCCCACAGACCCTGGGAAAGCATGGTGACTCCATGGGGTAAGGGTTTCAGAACATCCTTGTCAGGTTGAGCCTGTGGTGATGTGTCTGAGTCTTCCCTTAGACTTCGTTTTCTAATCAGTCTGTCACATTGGAGAGAACCATGTTGAAGTCTCCCATTGTTGTGGTTTTGAAGGTTGTTTCCGGTCCTTTTCCTTCATTTAACTCTCTCTGTGTCACTCACTGTGCGCCTGTAGAGTCGAGGCTGCTTACAGTTGTCTCCTTTCCGTCATGAAATGCTCATGCCCGTCTGTGCTGTTCTGCTGCTCCACGTTGGCCCACAGCGCCGCCACTGCCCGGTGCCGCCCACACCACCCTAGTCACTGACATTTGTCTTGAAGAAACACTTTTTGTCTTGTTTGTTTTTTTGTTTTGAGACAGGGTCTCAGTCACCCAGGCTAGAGTACAGTGAGTGGCACAGTCATGGCTCACTCAGCCTCGACTTCCTCAACTCAAGAAATCCTCCCTCCTCAGCCTCCCAAGTAGCTGAGATGACAGGTATACATCACTACACTAGGCTAAATTTTTCATTTTTTGTAAACATGAGGGTCTGACTGTATTGCTTAGGCTGGTCTCAAACTCCTGAGCTCAAGCAATCCTGCTTTGTGTTCTCAAAGTTCTGGGACTCACCAGTGTGAGCCATTGCATCTGGCCCCAGATTTATTTTTAAGAGATGGGTCTTGCTGTGTTTCCCAGGGTGGCCTCAAACTCCTGTGCTCAAGCAATCCTCCTGCCTCAGCCTTCCAGGTAGCTGAGAATGTAGGTATGAGCCACTCTGTCTGGCTTGTCTTGAATTTTTTTTGTTTAATAGGTGCCTGCCACCACACCTGGCTTTTTTTTTTTTTTTTTCCCCTGTATTTTAGTAGAGACAGGGTTTCACCATGTTGCCCAGGATAGTCTCGAACTCCTAAGCTAAGCTGATCCACCTGCCTTGGCCTTCCATAATGCTGGGATTATAGGCCTGAGCCACCATGTCCGGCCTCACACCCACTAATTTTTTTTTATGTGTGAGACAGAGTCTCACTCTGTCACTCAGGCTGGAGTGCAGTGGCATGATCTTCGCTCACTGCAACCTCTGCCTCCTGGATTCAAGTGATTCTCCTGCCTCAGCCTCCTGAGAAGCTGGGACTATAGGGCCACCACGCCTGGCTCATTTTCTGTATTTTAATAGAGACAGGGTTTCACTGTATTGCCCAGGGTGGTCTCAATCTCTGGCAGTCTGCCACCTTGGTCTCCCAAAGTGCTGCGATTATAGGCTTGAGCCATAGCACCTGGTGCCGACGAAATTTTTTTTTTTTTTTTTTTTTTTTTTTTTTTTTAAGATATGAAGTCTTACTCTCACCAGGCTGGAGTGCAATGGTTTGATCTCAGCTCATTGCAACCTCTGCCTCCCGGGCTCAAGCAATTCTCCTGCCTTAGCCACCCTAGTACCTGGGATTACAGGAGCCTGCCACCATGCCCAGCTGTTTTGTATTTTTTTTAGTAGAGATGGGGATTTCACTGTGTTGGCCAGGCTGGTCTCGGAACTCCTGACCTTGTGATCCACCCACCTCAACCTCCCAAAGTGATGGGATGGCGCCTACCGCAGTGCCCAGCCCCAAATTAAAAAAAAAATTTTTTTGTATAGATTTTGTCTTGCTATTGCCCAGTCTATAAGCATATGTTGTTTTTTTTTTTTTTTTTTTTTTTTTTTTGAGACGGAGTTTCGCTCCTGTTACCCAGGCTGGAGTACAATGGCACGATCTCGGCTCACCGCAACCTCTGCCTCCTGGGTTCAGGCAATTCTCCTGCCTCAGCCTCCTGAGTAGCTGGGATTACAGGCACGCGCCACCATGCCGGGCTAATTTTTTGTATTTTCAGTAGAGATGGGGTTTCACCATGATGACCAGGATGGTCTCGATCTCTTGACCTCATGATCCACCCGCCTTGGCCTCCCAAAGTGCTGGGATTACAGGTGTGAGCCACTGCGCCTGGCCCTTTTTTTTTTTTTTAAAAGGCAAAGTTTTGGTCTCTTGCAGGCTGGAGTGCAATGGCACGATCTCGTCTCACTGCAGCTTCTACCTCCTGGGTTCAAGTGATTCTCCTTCAGCCTCCCAAGTAGTTGGGATTACAGGCATGTGCCACCACACCCAGCTAATTTTGTATTTTTAGTAGAGATGGGTTTCTCCATGTTGGTCAGGCTGGTCTCGAACTCCGAACCTCAGGTGATCCATCAGCCTCAGCCTCTCAAAGTGCTGGGATTACAGGCGCAAGCAACCACACCTGGCCTATAAACATATCTTTTATCATTCTTTACATTTCCAGCTCCAATGATTGTTTCTTATTGGAAATCATTAAAAATCTTAACAATTATGTTAATTTAAATTATATCTTGTTTTTTTCTTCCAATAAGATCTGTTTTAGCAGCCAAATCACTAAAAATTATTTTTTATCTTTAGTTGTGGGTGTATAGCAGATGTGTATATTTGTGGGGCACATGAGGTGTTCTGATGCATGCATACAGTGCATAACAATCACATCAGGGTAAATGGGCCATCTGTCACCTCAAGCATTTATCCTTCGTGTTACGGACAATCCAATTATACTGACTTAGTTAATTCTAAATGTACAAGAAATTGTTGCCTGGCGCCATCCTGTTGTGTGTCAAACGCGAGATCCTACTCATCTCTCTGTGTGTTTGTACTCACTAATCCCCATTTCCCAAAAATTATTGTTTAAATGGTGGAAAAGAGCTGTGGCTCTGGACTGCCCAGACTAATCCCGAGTCCACCCCATCCATGGTGGCCGTGTGGCCGTGGGCACACCTCATGCTACGTTGCATTCAGCTGGATAGGGGGCTGCACCCGTGAGTGTGAACCAGCCACTGAGCCCTGCTGGGACACGGCAAGAGCCCCGTGTGCTCACAGCACGGCCTTGTGGTGAGTGTAGGGGGCGCTGCTTGGGTCCACGCAGTCGCTCGGCCCAGGCTGCACAGCACCAGGGCTGTCCTGCTCCAGGCACGTCCCCTGTGGCACTGTGCCATGCTGGGAGAGGTGCACAACGCCAGGCCTTGGTGTGCACACAGCCCCCAGGGCACAGCCATGCTGGTAGAGGTGCTGGAAGCGGGTCCTACACTCAACCATGAGTGTCAGCAGATGCCAGCCGCCTGATGGCTTGTGTGCCCAGCCATGCTTGTCCTGCTTTAGAGTCCTGGGGACCATTGTAGGAGTGCTGCCGTCTGCATGGTCTGGAGGGAAGGCTGCTGAGTGTGAGCCCCTCTGTGCCCTGAGCAGGATGGCCATGCAGTGGGCACGCTGCCTAGTGCCCCAGCGTGGCTGCAGCAGGTGGTCAGTGGCAGGTGGCTGGGACCTCTCCTGGGTTCAGTGCCGTGGCTGTCCCAGCTGAGGGTCAGAGAGACTTTGTCCAGGGAGGGGGATGTGGGGGATCCCGTGTGCCTGGAAAAACAAGTGCAGGTCCCCTGCCCCTGGGCTGGGTGGGCTGCATGTGCACATGCTGTGGCACCTCGAGGTGGGCCCTCAGGCGCTGTGTCTGCCGCAGACCCGTGCCTGTACATTCCACGCTTTGCGCACCTGCTGGAATTCGGGGAGAAGAACCATGAGGTGTCCATGACGGCCCTGAGGCTCCTGCAGAGAATGAAGCGGGACTGGATGCACACAGGCCGGCGCCCCTCGGGCCTCTGCGGAGCAGGTACAGTGGCCCCTGCCTGTCTGTGGGATGATGGTCTGGGTTCTGGCATCACACCGTCCGGACTCCTGAGCGCTGGTGGGCTAGGGCATGTGTTTCCAGAGTACTGACAGCTGCCTCCAGCCTCCCGTGGCCGACACTGGCCTGGCCTACGGGGTCCTTGGCCCTCCAGGACCTCCTGACGACCCTTTTGTCCTCTTCATGTCCTGGGATAAGGGTCCCAGAGGGCCCTGACCTGATAAGGTTGTCTGCTTCTGGGGAGCGGTTGCATGGCCATCCCTGTTCGTGGTCTTGGAGGGCCCAGCTCCTGATGCAGATAGTGGTGTGGCCTCTCTCTTGAGACACCAGGTTGCTGCTTGTGAGGGTTCTATAGGGCTGTTGGGCTGAACCCCGGCCCCAGCTGGGCGGTTGTTCTAGTTGGACCTCTGTGGCCCCCCAGGTTGCAGCTGTCACTCAAACTCTCACTTTACCCTTGGTGCTAGTGCGTGGATATGGCTGTGGCCATGGTCTGGTCAACTACCCCAACCGTCGGCTGGGATCTCACTCTCCTCCAGGGCCCCCACCCTTGTGCCCAGCTTCCACCCTTCCCAGCAGGCCCGGTGCCAGCATCCCTGCACTCTAGGATGGGATAGGATAGCAGAATTCCACCTGAGGGTCAGTTCCATCTGCACACACGGTCTCCACGTTTGCACTGGAGGTTCTGGGCCTGCCGTGGCCTTGGTGAACCTGTGTCAGCTGCCAGCGGTGACCTCGCCCGCTTCCCGCCCAGCCTGGCTCTGCATCCTCAGAGCCCCCCAGCTCCTGTCACAACCTGTGTTTCCCGCACAAGTCATCTTAGTTTGTTTGCTTTGAGAGATGACATGAAGTTCTCAGAAAGCTTCATTTTAATTTTCCTTGTGTTTGAAAATGGAGTAGATGCAGCTGCCACCCACAGTAAGGTAGAGAGGGCCTTGTCCTGGAGCGGCCACACCAGGCAAGGGTCTCACTGTGCGGGCACACACACCCCTTTCCAGGTTGTTGTCTCCCCGAGCAGGGTCTGCACACCGTCCGGCCTCCGCGGACGCGCTGCTTCCATGTTTCCCAGACGCGGCGTTTCACTAGGCCTGTCTCTTTGCTTTCTAGCACTTCTCGTTGCAGCCAGAATGCATGACTTCAGGAGGACCGTGAAAGAGGTCATCAGCGTAGTCAAAGTGTGTGAGTCCACACTGCGGAAGAGGTAGGGGCTCTCATTCAGGGCATGGGGACCACGCAGACGCTTCATCAGTCCGGCTCAGGCCTCTTACTGGAGCAGGCGGTGCCTCCTGGGACCTGCTGTCCCCAGCCTGGCCCCTGTCCCACTGGGCTTGGACATGCTGTCTCGCCTCCCTCCAGAGTTCCCTGCTAGTCCTTTTGGGGCTGGCCCTGTCCCGTGGAGGCATCCCCCTCCTTCTGATTCCTGTGTTTCTAAGTTGTGGTGGAGGGTGATGTGTCAAGTTGCCGTGAGTCACAGTCAGGCCGGAGGCTGTCTTTGATGTCAGAAGCTGGTCCGTCTCCTTTCTGGTGCGGCCCGTCCTGGACTTTGAAAGCCCAGGTGACCCGTGTGCAAGTGAAAAGCCAGAGTTCCGTAAGAGTCCCTGCGTCGACGTAAACGTAAACGAGCCGCAGAGCAGGCCAGGCTGGGGTGGGCGGGGCCTGCAGTGCTGCTTTGCTGTGGCGGTTGCTGTGTTCCTCGGCTCGCCTGCACAGCAGCCCTGTTTCACAGACTTGACAAGGTCAGTGTGACAGCGGAGTTGCTGCGACCTGTACCTGCCAAGATCTTTATCACAAATCTTAAACATGCGGCTTCGGTTTTTCAGCTGAGATCATGTCCTGTGGCAGTTTCCAAAAGCACCTGGGAAGTATTTGACCTTAAATATCTGACCTTTGGTTCTGTGAAAAGCCTTTGATTAAACATTTTGGAGATGGTGTAATGTATAGAGGCGTTATGTAAGAATTGAGTCCCCTGGGTCATCAGTGGGCAGGGCACCTTCCTGCTGGCTGCCAGGCGTGGCGGTCCTGGCTCAGCCTCCTCTCTTCAAGCCTTCTGAGTCTTCTGTCTGGGATCGGGGGTCTCTCTGTGGAAGTGACAAGGGTGCCTGTGGGCTTTTCTCCCGGGACCAGAGGTCTGGCAGGATCAGGTGGGGATGGAGAAGCCACCAGAAAGGACCTGGGCGGCAAGGAGCAAGCCCTGAGCACCAGGCCCCATAGAGGAACTGTCTGGCAAGCACAGTTTTTATTTTATTTTTGCTTGTTTTTGATTTTTTTTTTTTTTTGAGACAGAGTTTTGCTCTTGCTGTCCAGGCTGGAGTGCAATGGCGCCATCTCGGCTCACTGCAACCTCTGCCTCCTGGGTTCAAGCGATTCTCCTGCCTCAGCCTCCCTAGTACCTGAGATTACAGGCTCCTGCCACCACACTCACCTAATTTCTGTATTTTTAATAGAGACGGAGTTTCACCATGTTGGCCAGGCTGATCTTGAACTTCTGACCTCAGGTGATCCTACCGTCTCGGCCTCCCAAAGTGCTGGTATTACAGGCATAAGCCACTGTGCCTGGCCTTTTATTTTATTTGTTATATATTTTTTGAGACAGGATCTTGCTTGCTGCCCAGGCTGGAGGGCAGTGGCACCATCACAGTTCATTACAGCCTCACCTTCGTGGGCTCAAGCGATCCTCCCTGACCTCAGCCTTCCAAGTAGCTGGGACTGCAGGTATGCACCACCATGCCTGGCTAATTTTTTTTTTTTTTTTTTTTTTTTTTTTGGTAGAGATGGAGTCTCAATATGTTGCCTAGGCTGGTCTCAAAGTTTTGAACTCAAGCAATCCATCCACCTTGGGCTCCCAAAGCTGGGGTCACAGGTGTGAGCTGCGCCCAGCTGGAAGCTCAGTTTTAAATAGCTGTTTTCAGGATCACCAGCTCTGTTTCACATGTCTGGCTCCATTTTAGGCTCACGGAATTTGAAGACACCCCCACCAGTCAGCTGACCATTGATGAGTTCATGAAAATTGACTTGGAGGAGGAGTGCGACCCCCCTTCGTACACAGCTGGCCAGAGGAAGCTGCGGATGAAGCAGGTAGTGCTGGCCTTGCCGTCTGGCTGTGCTGGGCTCGTCAGGCCTTGCATCTCGGAGCTGGGTCAGGCCTAGCTTAGGAGGGAAGTTGTACCCCCGACTAGGGTGGTAGTGGAGCTGGTGCCATCCCAAAGCCTCGTAGCTGCTCATCAGTGCTGTGAGCAGCCAGAGGAGGCTCTGGGACGTACCTTGCACAGACTCTGGGAAGTGCCGCCTATCCCCGTGGGGGATACAGGCCCACAGCTCCGCCTCCACCACTGCGTACCCCTAAGTTCCAGCGGCCTGTGGGGCCCATGGGGCACCCAGGAGGCTGTGCTGTGTCCCAGGGCCTCCCTTCACTAAGCCTCTCGCCCCGTTCCCTTTCAGCTTGAACAAGTCCTGTCAAAAAAACTGGAGGAGGTTGAAGGTAACCAACCGATCTTCCCATACAATGCTTCTGTTTTGTTGGGAAAGTTGATTTTGTGCAGACTTTTTGCTTTTATCTTACGACTTCAGGTGAAATATCCAGTTACCAGGATGCAATTGAGATTGAACTGGAAAATAGCCGACCAAAGGCCAAGGGGGGCCTGGCCAACCTGGCGAAAGACGGTGAGTCCAGCCCTGGCCTCAGAACTCAATATCCATCCGCCTGCCCCTTGCCGACACCTTTCCCACCAGCTGACCTTTGACCCTGTCCTTCCTGTCACCCTTCCTGGACCCTCGGGTTTTGTGCACAGCCCTGGGGGGATGAGGCTGCCTCCTGCATGGCACTCCTCCCTCCTCAGGTGCTCAGGCTCCACGCTGGGCTCTGGCCCACCAGCTGTTTGTACAGGTTGTCCCCACCTCATCCCGTCCCCTCAGAAGCTCCTGTAAGGTATACATTGGTTTGATCCAGAAAGGTGGGACAATTCGAAGTAGTGAGCGAGGCTTATCGGCCACAGGTGGAGTCAAAGATTTTGTGATTGGCAATTGGTTGAAAGAGTTACTATCTAAAGACCTGGAGTCAATAGAAGTGTCTGGGTTAAGGTCAGGGGTTGTGGAGACCAAGGTGTTTGTTACATAGATGAAGTCTTGTAGGTGGCTGCCCTCAGAGGCAATAGATGGAGGTTTTCTTTTCTTTTTTGAGTCAGAGTCTCTCTCCTGCTTAGACTGGAGTGTAGTGGCGAGATCTTGGCTCACTGCAGCCCCCGCCTCCTGGGTTCAAGTGATTCTCGAGCCTCAGCTTCCCAAGTAGCTGGGACTACAGGCACCTGCTGCCACACCCAGCTAATTTTTGTGTTTTTTGTTAGAGACGGGGTTTCACCATGATGGTGGGGCTGGTCTTGAACTCCTGGCCTCAGGTAATCTACGTGCCTTGGCCTCACAAAGTGTTGGGATTATAGGCATGAGCCACTGCCCTCAGGCAAATGATTCCTATTCAGACCTTTAAAATGTGCTAGAGTCTCAGCAAATCTTTTCAGGATCAGAAAAAGACCTGGAAAGGGAAGGGGATTCTCTACAGACTATAAGTTTCCCCTACAAAAGATAGCTTTGCAGGGCCATTTCAAAATATGTCAAAGAAATATATTCTGGAGTAACATATTTTGATTTCTTTGAGGGCCTGCCATCTGTCATATGCTGCTTTGCTAGAGTCAGGCTGGAGTTTGGTATCTGATTGCTATTGTTTGGTCGATCTTCAGATCTCTGTTTTGATGTTAATGCTGATCAGCTGTGCTTGGACTCCAACGGGAAGGGCTGTAAGAGAGTATAATGAGGCATCTCTGACCCTGCCCCACTTCCCATCGTGGTCTGAACTAGCTTTTCAGGTTTCTTTGAAATCTCCTTGACCAAGACAAGGGGTCCGTTCAGTTGTTTTTAGGGCTTAGAATTTTATTTTTGATTTGTATTCTGTACTGTGTTTTTCCACTTGGGGGTGGTAGGAGCCACGAGAGGGCCTGAGAGCAGAGGCAGGTGGTGGGGAGGCTTTTACAGGAACCCAGGGTGAAAGACCTGGCCCAACCTGGTTGAACTCTAGAGGTACTTTCAGGGCAGAGCCAACAGTCCTGGGAATGTGCATGTCAGGGGATTGTGGCAGCTGCAGCCCCCAAGGCTCCTGGCACCTGCAGCCGGGACCCACTTGCCCAGGGAGGGGCTTCTAAGAGGCTGCTCTGTCTAGAGGTCCTCACCCGCTGACATCTGCTCTCTGGGGATTGGGCGCTTTCCCCAAAGGAGCCATTCCTCACCAGGGGGACCCCTCCGGGACTCAGTGCTAGCCAGGAACTTTGTATTGGAACACATTCAGAAGAAAGCAATCTAAGTCTTAGGGTGAGTCAGGCATGGTGGTTCATGCCTATAATCGCAGCACTTTGGGAGGCCAATACAGATGGATTGCTTGAGTGGAGTTAGAGACCAACTTGGTCAGTATAGTGAGACCCAATCTCTACAAAAAGTAAAATTAGCTGGGCATAGGAGCACGTGCCCGTAGTCCCAGCTGCTCAGAAAGCTGAGGCAGGAGGATCACTTGAGCCCAGGAGTTTGACATGCAGTGAGCTGTGATTGAGCCACCGTACTCAGGCCTGGGCAGCAGAACCAGACCCTGTCCCTGCTACATACACAAAAAAATAAAGTGGAATATTTTAAGATGAGTCTTGCCAACCTAAGAGGAAGAAACTGAGGAAAAGCTAATCTACATAATTTATTTGGGTCAAGCTTGAGGATTGCAGCTTGTGAGAACACATCAAATTGCCCTCCCTGAATATACACTCTGGCGAGCAGCACTTACACACATGAATATACACTCTGGTGAGCAGCAGTTACACACCTGAGTATACGCTCTGGTGAGCAGCAGTTACACACCTGAGCATATACTCCAGTGAGCAGCAGTTACACTGCTGAGTATACACTCTGGTGAGCAGCAGTGACACACCTGAGTATACACTCTGGTGAGCAGCAGTTACACTCCTGAGTATACACTCTGGTGAGCAGCAGTTACACACCTGAGTATACACTCTGGTGAGCAGCAGTTACACTCCTGAGTATACACTCTGGTGAGCAGCAGTGACACGCCTGAGTATACAATCTGGTGAGCAACACTTACACGCCTGAATATACACTCTGGTGAGCAGCACTTACACGCCTGAGTATACACTCTGGTGAGCAGCACTTACACTCCTGAGTATACACTCTGGTGAGCAGCAGTTACACGCCTGAGTATACACTCTGGTGAGCAGCACTTACACACCTGAGTATACACTCTGGTGAGCAGCAGTGACACGCCTGAGTATACACTCTGGTGAGCAGCACTTACACACCTGAATATACACTCTGGTGAGCTGGTGAGCAGCACTTACACGCCTGAGTATACACTCTGGTGAGCAGCACTTACATGCCTGAGTATACACTCTGGTGAGCAGCAGTGACACGCCTGAGTATACATTCTGGTGAGCAGCACTTACATGCCTGAGTATACACTCTGGTGAGCAGCACTTACACTCCTGAGTATACACTCTGGTGAGCAGCAGTGACACGCCTGAGTATACACTCTGGTGGGCAGCACTTACACACCTGAGTATACACTCTGGTGAGCAGCAGTGACACACCTGAGTATACACTGGTGGGCAGCACTTACACACCTGAGTATACACTCTGGTGAGCAGCACTTACACGCCTGAATATACACTCTGGTGAGCAGCACTTACACGCCTGAGTATACACTCTGGTGAGCAGCAGTGACACGCCTGAGTATACACTCTGGTGAGCAGCAGTGACACGCCTGAGTATACACTCTGGTGAGCAGCAGTGACACGCCTGAGTATACACTCTGGTGAGCAGCACTTACACGCCTGAGTATACACTCTGGTGAGCAGCACTGACACGCCTGAGTATACACTCTGGTGAGCAGCACTTACGCACCTGAATATACACTCTGGTGAGCAGCACTTACACGTGGACTTTTTTGGTTTTGGGAGATGGAGTCTCGCCTGTCCCCAGGCTGGAGTGCAGTGGTGCCATCTTGGCTCACTGCAACCTAGGCTCCCTGGGTTCAAGTAATTCTGCCTCAGCCTCCCAAGTAGCTGGAACTACATACATACCCACCAGGCCAGCTAATTTTATATTTTTTGGTAGAAATTGGATTTCACCGTGTTGCCCAGGTTGGTCTCGAGCTCCTGACCTCCAGTGATCTGCCCACCTTGACCTCCCAAAGTGCTGGGATTACAGGAGTGAGCCATCGTGCCCAGCCACAAATGGATTTTTAAAGGCAAAAAGGGACCGTGGTTGGATGCATACAGAGCTGTTTGTCAGGAATTGTCATTGGCTTACAGCAGTAGCATTCATTAGTGATTGTTTCTCTTTTGGGGTTGTTTCTGATGCGCTCCTGAACACTCGTGTGCAAGTCCTGGTATGGACGTTGATTTCCTTTTGGGTAAATTGCTGGGGTGACATTGCTGGCTTATGTGGAAAACAAGTGTTTGTCTTTTTTTGTTGTTTTTGAGACAGAGTCTTATTCTGTCACCCAGGCTGGTGTGCAGTGGATTGATTGTAGTTTACTGTAGCCTCAACTTCCTGGGCTCAAGCAGTCCTCCATCTCAGCCTCCCAAGTAGCTGGGACTGCAGTCAGGCACTACCATGCCCAGGTAGTTTTAAAATTTTTTCGTAGAGGCAGGATCTTGCTATGTTGCCCAGGCTGGTCTGGAACTCCTGGCTCAAGTGAGCCCCCACACCCTGCCTGTCTTCACCTGCCTGTCTTTACTAATACCCCTCTGTTGTCTCCAGAGGGGTGGCGCCATTGCGTGGAAGCGCAGGGGTGTTGCGTTCCTCCGTCCTGGAGACATGGCCTGGAATCTGGTCAGGGCTACACGTTCTGATGGTTGTGAAGTAGGAGCTTGTGGTGGTTTCATTTGCATTTCCTTAAGGACCGAAGAAGGTCTTTGTATGTGTTTGTTTACCACCTGTCTTTGCTGGAGTCTTTGTTCAGGTCTTTTCCCACGTTTTAATTGGGTTGTGTTTTCTTGTGAAGTTTTGGGAATTCTTCATCTGTTCTGGATTTACGTCCTTTATCAGTTGTGAGATTTGCAGATTAGCCTGTCACTGTCTTTTCATTGTCTTACGATGGCTTTTAGAGGGCAGTTCTTAATTTTTTGGAAATCTGTTTTATCAGTGTTTTATGGATTCTGCTTTTAGAGCCATTAGAAACCTTTCCCTTATCCAAGGCCACAAACTTTTTCTTTTACTTTTTTGTCTGAAATGTCTGTACTTGTAGCCCCGCCAGGTCTGTCATCTGCTTTGAGCTGTCTTTTTTTTTTTTTTTTTTTTTTTTTTTTGAGACGGAGTTTCGCTGTTGTTACCCAGGCTGGAGTGCAATGGCACAATCTCGGCTCACCGCAACCTCCGCCTCCCAGGTTCAGGCAATTCTCCTGCCTCAGCCTCCTGAGTAGCTGGGATTACAGGCACATGCCACCATGCCCAGCTAATTTTTTTGGATTTTTTAGTAGAGCCGGAGTTTCACCATGTTGACCAGGATGGTCTCGATCTCTTGACCTTGTGATCCACCCGTCTCGGCCTCTCAAAGTGCTGGGATTACAGGCTTGAGCCACTGCGCCCGGCCTGAGCTGTCTTAACGTGTGCGGCGCGTGGCATGGGCTGAGGCTCGTTCTTTGGCACACAGCTGCCAGGCACCGTGCACCAACAGCCGTTCTCCGGGTTACCTGGCAGCTTGGCAGCATCGTTTCCTGTGACATAAGTGGGTGCCCTGGCCCTCTGCCTGGTTAACAGGTAGTGTTTGGATTGTGTATGCCTAGGCTCTGCTGAGGACACTGCATCCAGTGTGTGTGGCGAGGAGGACACGGAGGACGAGGAATTGGAGGCTGCGGCCAGCCACCTGAACAAGGACTTATACCGGGAGCTCCTGGGTGCCACCCCCGGCAGCTCAGAAGCAGCAGGAAGCCCCCAGTGGAGTGGCAGACCCCCGGCCTTGGAGTCCCTGCTGGACCCCCTGCCCACGGCAGCCAGCCTGGGCATCTCAGACTCCATCCGCGAATGCATCTCCTCCCAGAGCAGCGACCCCAGTGAGTTTTGATGTGGTATGGGGGTGCTGGGGACAATGGGAGAGCTTTCCGGCTTGTTCCTCTCATGGGAAGACCCGGGTGCTGCATCCTCTATTGGGAGGTGTGGTGTTCTCAAAGGGTGGGGTTGGGTGAGGACACCACCAGCCCCCCCAATGGCCAGTGGGACTGTGTGAGCGTCAGTGGTCCTAGTGTGAAGAACTGGGTGTGTGCCGACGCCAGGATGTGGTGGGTCTCGTCACCCTCACTGCGATGGCCTGCAGGCCGCAGGGGCCAAATGAGGATGGAGCCCACAGGTTGCACCAGGAGTCCCACAGGGCCCTGGGGCAGGGACCCATGGCTCCACCCCTCCTCCGCTTGTCCAACATGGTTAGGGGAGCGTCACTTGCTGAGCTTGAGCACAGCAATAATGAAGCAGCCCTGTCCCATAGGGCCCACGCCAGGCCACCATGCCCGTCCTGCCCCCCTCACCCTGCCCATTTTTTTGGGAGCTCTAGGAGAAAGGTGGGTCCTGTCCCCCATCCCTGCCAGGACAGGCTTCCCTGGCTGAGAGTCTGGACTCTCCTGCAAGGCTTTACCATCAGGCCCTTGCCTCTGTGACGCTTCACCCTCAGGCCCTCCCTCCCATTGGGCACCAGGCCCTGGCCTCTGTGTGAGGAGCCTTTGCAGGGTCACCAGGCGTGTGTTTATCGAGTGACCTCTGGGCCAGGGGTGGAGATGGTTGTGCACTTGGCCTGATGGCTGGGGCTACTGTGCTGGTGGAACATGGGTGGGTCACACAGAGCAACAGGCAGAGGGGACGTGCACAGGCCCTGGGGCAGCCCAAGTCACAGTGACGCTGAGTAGAAAGGGCCATTCTGGCTGGAGCCGAGGAAGGGCAGTGGGGGCCTTGAGGACTGCTCGTGAGTGCTGAGAGGAGTCATCTTGGGCCTTGGCCATGGAGCAGTATGGCAGGAGGGCACCCCAGATAGTCTGGCCCGGTGCTGGAGTTGAGTTGGCAGCACAGGGCAGGTGGCTATGGCAGGGCGCTGTGGTGAGGAGGGGCTGTCCCAATTCCAGGCTGTGCACTTGCTGTCTGGACCGCGTGGGGCTGGACAGGGTGACAGGCAGGTTTTGGGGTCTCCTGAGCATGATCATGGAAGGCTCCCTCGGGCCTGGACTCTGGAATCATTTCCATCATTTCTATCCCAAGACCTACGTGCTCAGTGATGGGGAGCTGGCTCCCCCCAGCACAGACCCGCATCTCTCTTCATAGCCTGGCCTCTCCTTCCTGCCCAGCTTCCGTGCCCTCCCTCGGTCTTTGGGGCCAGAGAGCCTGCGTCTCCCAATCTTAAAAAGTTGCTTTTTTACAGAAAGCACAGGAGTGCTGGGTTTCCCCTTGTGGCGTCAGTTTAGCGTCCTGCTGTCTTCACTCAGTGTCCTGAGCTTAGCATTTAAAGAGACGTGGCCATGTGGGGAAACGGCGTGACCCACCGGTGCAGAGGAGGGAGTGGGGTTCTGGAAGGCCCTCGGCCCAGACTCAGTCCTGAGCCAGCCCAGGTGGCAGCCACACTCCCGTAATTAGAGCTGGCCCCGAGCGATGCTGATGCTGCGCTTCCTTCCAGAAGACGCTTCGGGAGACGGCGAGCTGGACCTCAGTGGCATTGACGACCTGGAGATTGACAGGGTAAGTGGCAGCACGCCTTCCCAGCAGAAGCATGGCTTGGGAGGGCACTGCAGCCCAGGGAGCCCCAAGTGGCTGGGCAGGCTTGGCCATCTGCCCTTCCCAGTGCCCAGTGCCCACCCTGCTGGGTGAAGTGGGCTCATGACCTTCTAGCCACTGTTCCTGGGACCCACCCCCAGATCCTCTTACCCAGTATGGGCTCCAGGGCAGGCTGTTGAGAGGCCCCCAGCTCGCACCTGGCCCTTTGGCCCTCTGACTCTGCATGTGCTGTGTGCCCCCAGAACCTAGGGGTTCCAGCCATTGGGACTGGCTCTTTGCAGTTGATCTCAACAGATTTGCTCTGTGTCAGGCAGGAAGTCTTCCTGGTTTCATTGCCACGTGGTGCCTCAGGCCCCTTCAGCCTGGCCCCTCTGTTCCTGAGTGGGCAGCTCACACCCTCACTTCATCCGTTTGTGGGGACCTGTGACCTGCACTCTGGCTGGCCAGGGTCCTGGTGCCAGTGAGGCTTGCAAGCTGCCCTAGAGGGTCTCACAGAGGTGGCCTGCATGGCTGGACTTGGGACGGGCAAAGGGCAATGGGTCCCCAGCTCACCCTGAGCGGTGAGGCCTCAGCCCGGGCTCTGCACTAAATAGAGGCGGCCCTGGTTCCCCTTCCTCTAACGGTGGAAAGACTTCCCGCTGGCCGGCGCGGCCTTAGCATGCCCCACTTCCTGTGCTCAGTACATCCTGAACGAGTCAGAAGCCCGCGTGAAAGCTGAGCTGTGGATGAGGGAGAACGCTGAGTACCTGCGGGAGCAGAGGGGTAAGCGCCACCCGCCCACCCTGACACAGGACACGAGGTCCCCAGGCCTGGGGTGTGGGCCCTTAGTGACGCTGGCCCCTTTTCTGAACTTTTAGAAAAAGAAGCAAGAATAGCCAAAGAGAAGGAGCTCGGCATCTACAAGGAGCACAAGGTGGGTGCCTGTGGCACGGGCCTGGCCTTCTCGGGGGTGTCCAGGCTTATGGGGGACAAATGTCTTTGGGTGTTCCTTCCCCATGTGACAGGAGGGGCCAGGTCCCAGGGCAGGCTGTTGGAAGCCATGTGCTCTGGACCCCAGACCCATGACCCTAACCACTGAGTCCTGCCCCGTGCTGGTCACAGGCGCCCAATTGCCGGCTTCACTCTAGAGGGCTTGTGCTCAGCCTTGGGGTGAGCTTCCAGACGCAGCGACAGGGCAGACTGTGCTGAGACTCGGGGATGGTCACTGGGGTCCCTGGGCTTGAGCCCTGCCTCTGTAACCTGGGTTTGCTCTTCTGATGACCTGGGAAGGTCTGAATGTGGTGCCTCCCTGCCCGTCACCCACATTGCGGTGACGTGGCTCAGCTGCTTGCTCCATGGTTTGAGTGTGACTTCAGCCTTGTGCAGTCAGCAGTGGTTGAGTGAGTGAAAGGAGAAAACCGGGAGCCAGGCCCCTGCCTGCGAGACAGCGTCCTTTGGACCAAGCTGTAGGTGGTGGGGAGGGCAGATATGGGGCCTGCCTAGTTGGGAGGACCCGGGGAGCTTGTGATAGGGACTTAGGAGCCCAGGGTCTCCGCCCACCCAGCAGCACATCCTAGGCTGTGCTGGGCCACATGGAGGGAGGGCAGTAGGGGTGGTGCTGGCTAATTGCCCTGAAGTGGTCTGTGGCTCTAGCTCCTAGAATGAGATCCAGGGTCTTTGGGCAGCTGAGGCCTTTGACCTGGGCAGCAGTGCTGGGATGGATTGTCTGTCTTCACCGGGTAACAGCTCTGCCACGGCCCTCACATCACATCACAGCGCAGCAGCACGTCACCTGCTGTGTGTGTGACCCAGGACCCAGGTGTGGCAGGGCCCTGAGGGCTGCACCTGTGGCAGGTTTGCTGCTGTTGCAATCTGGAGGCCCTGCCAGCACCCGTGCCAGCCCCCGTGCCAGCCCAGATGCACCACTCACCTGGGAGGGCAGGATTTGATGTGGGCACACTCAGAGAGCTCGAGGCTGGCCCACATTCTGGGAGGAGGAGGCAGGAGCAGCCCTTCGGAGGCCTTGAGCCAGGCCTCCCCTGCCTGCACTCCTGGCCTAACACGGAGCCTCTGATGGTTGAGCACGGGGGCGTGACTCATGGGAGTCATTCTTGTGTGTTTCCATCAAGCCCAAGAAGTCTTGCAAGCGACGGGAGCCAATTCAGGCCAGTACCGCCAGAGAAGCCATTGAGAAGATGCTGGAGCAGAAGAAGATCTCCAGCAAGATCAACTACAGCGTGCTGCGGGGCCTCAGCAACGTCGGCGGGGGCAGCCCGCACAGGGAGGAGGCACGGCCCGAGCACAGCGGCAGCGCCAGGAAGCTGTCACGGAGGAGGACGCCAGCCAGCACAGGTGCAGCTGACCCTATGACCAGTACGGGGAAAAGGTACCATCCTGTCCTGAGCGGCTGGGTGTCGGGGCAGCAGTTGAAGGTAGGCAGAGAGCCGAGGCTTTGGGTCCTGGAGGTGCTGGGGGCCAGCTGGGGCCACAGAAGTGCCTGGAGTGGCATGTGCCACCTGCATGCTGGGGACTGGTGGTCCAGCCTCGGGCACATTGACGGTCTCGACTCTCTGTGGCTTGGCGGACTGTGATCCAAGTGGAGGTGTCAGCTGTCAGAGGGGTCTTGCAGGCCAGGCTCTGTTTTGTCCCAAGGATGAGACGGGACACTCACAGTGGGGTTGGCCCCTTCTCCAGCCTGGGTTCCTGGAGGAGCCCCAGCCCCGCTGCCGTGGGCCTGCTCTGTGCGCCCTGGCTCCACTGCCATCTCTGCCAAGGTGGTGGGTGACAGCAGCCCACTGCTGAGGAGGGAGGATGTGCGTAGAGAACATGGGCTGAGGGACGATCAAAGGTGGGATGTGCTGGCCTCGGTGTGCGGAGTCACGGGTCTCCGCAGCTCCATGCAGGGCCGCCGTGGGGTGGCTTGGCCACAAGTGGCCCTGTGGGGAGCCTGCCCTCTGTGCTTGGCTTGCCATTGGGTGGCAGCTGCAGGCTATCCTGACGAGGCCATGAGTGGCTGGGCTCACCTGCTGCATCTTAGGTGCTCACCACACCACGGCTGGTCCATGTGTTTCCCTGGCAGTGGAGATGGGGTTGGCAGCTTAGCTCCTGGGTCCATCCCCAAGGCTTGGCTCTGGGCCAAGAGTGTTCGCTGGTCCTGCTGCTCCTCCTCAGAATCTCTCGAGCTGTTTCCAGCTGCTTCCTCTCATGGGGCGGTGCTGAGCCTCTGCAGCCCATCAGGGCCTCCTGTTGTTCGTGGCGGTTTCTCCTTGGCCTTTTGAGCTGTGAGGCCAGCCACTCCATCCCCAGTAAGAATCGACTGTGTTGTGGCCCTGCCCCTGCCCCTGCCCCAGGATGCCCAGGTGCTGCTCCCTGAGGGAGCCTGACCTCCTTGCAGCCTGCTGCTTCTTAGCTGGCATCTCATCCCCTCAAGAGGGCCACGTGGGCTGTCTCCTCCACATCAGCCAATGGTGGCCCTCTGGGGGTTCGTTCCTAGCACAGCTCCTGGCATGTGTAGGAGGCCAGTGGGGCAGAGGTGAAGTCGGCACAGGCCCGGTGGCCTGGTTCCCCTGTGGGCCAGCACTCAGGTTGGATCTGAGGCCTGAGTCTCAGTGTCCTCTGCCTGCCCAGCCAGCCTCTCTTAGCGCTGGGGTTGTCCTGTCCTGGTGTGGGTGATTCTGGTGCCTGGTTACAGGGTCACATTCCCGTCTATCTCATCTGACCAGCTGGCCCAGACAGTGTCTGGGTGTGCTTTTGTGTGTCTGTGTCTCTGTGTACATATGTGCCTGTGTCTGTATGCATGCAGTACGTGTGTGTGTGCCTGTCTGCATGCAGTGTGTGTGTGTGCCTGTGTCAGTATGCAGAGTGTGTGTGTGCGTGTGCCTGTGCCTGTGTCTGTATACATGCAGTGTGTGTGCGCCTGTGTCCGTATGCATGCAGTGCGCGTACGCCTGTGTCTGTGTGCATGCAGTGCGCGTGCGCCTGTGTCTATGTGCATGCAGTGTGTGTGTGTGCCTGTGTCTGTGTGCATGCAGTGCACGTGTGCCTCTGTATGCATGCGGTATGCGTGTGTGCCTGTCTGTATGCATGTAGGATGTGTGTGTGCCTGTCTGTATGCATACAGTGCACGTGTGCCTGTTTCTGTATGCATGCAGTGCATGTGTGCCTGTCCGTATGCATGCAGTGTGTGCGTGTGTGCCTGCGTCTGTATGCAGGTAGTGTTTGTGCGCATCTGTGTGCACAGTGCATGTGCACACAGTGCATTTGTGCACTAAGTGCATGTGTGTGTGCATGTGTACCTATGTCGACATGCAGCGTGTGCATGCATCTGTGTGTCTGCACACAGTGTGTGTGCGTCCATGTAAATTTTTGTGTGATATGCAGGTGTGCATGCCTGTGTCTCTCTGTGCAGGCAGTGTGTGTTCGTGTGTACATGCAATGCATGTGTGCCTGTAGGTCTGCAGTGTGTGCGTGTCTTGTGTGTACACTTGTGTACATTCATGTCTCTGTATACACAGTGCATGTTTGTTTCTCTGTGTGCATGGGGCATGTGTGTCTGCAGTATGTGTGCGTGTCTGTGAGTGTGCACACAATGCGTGCATCTGTGTATCTGCATGTGTGCAGTGTGTATACACATATCTGCGTGTTTGTGCACTGCTTCCTACATTAGAAACCCATTGATCTTCCCCAAGTGGTCATGATCTGATTCCTGAATGTTTAGTATTCTGAGAAAGAAGCATGAAGACCTCAGGGCTGGGGATACCCCGACTCACTGCACCGTCACCCCCACCTGGGCCTGGGCGGCTCTGGCAGTTCCAGTTGGGCAGGGGAGAGAAGGGGGCTGCCTGGGGACAGAAGGGCAGGTCCCGGTTGCAGCACCACCAAGCAGGGGCACTCAGGCACCCACTGCCTGCAGACTGTGGGGAGGAGTGGAGCAGCTGAGGCTTCTGGGGAGCCTCATGGGGAACCTGGGGCCTCAGCCCGGCCCACACCTGCTGTCGGCCTCACCCCGCACAGAGATCCGTTGCTAGGTGTTCTGCGAATGTCCACCTGTCACGGGGTCCATTCCCAGTGTCCCGAGGGTTCATCTGGCAAGTCATAGCCAGGCAGGGCCAGGCCTCAGGCCCCCTACCACTTTCCCACACAGCTGTGCCTGGAGGGAAGGGCTCTGCCCCCTCCTAGTTATCCCCACAGGCACTGAGGCCTCTCATTGCCCACCCCACAGCCCTGTGTGGCCATGCCAGGGGTTGGGAGGGATGCCTCCCGTGGGTTCCCGTCTCCCTGGGGGATCCAGCAGTCTCCAAGAAGACTGGCATGTGGAAGGCACCTTTGGCCTTTGTGTGTGGCGGGCTGTCGAGGGGCCTGTGCAGAGTGTTGTCAGCAGGAGTAGGGAGTGCCCTGGGCCTGGCGGGTTTGGGGCAGCAGACTCGGGTCTTACAGTGCCCCCTTCATCCTCCCCCATCCGTGGGTGAGGTGGGGCACCAGGGAGGCTTGTTGGGGGCTCGTGCACTGTTGGAAGGAGGCCGGGGGGGCGTCTGCGGCATCTGCGTCTGCGTGAAGTGTGCCCCCGTTGAGAATGAGTGGGTCAGTGCTGTGCTGCTGTGCGGTGAGCACTGATGGAGCACACAGAGGCTGACACAGACCCAGACTTCCAGAGGGAGCGAGAAGTCAGTTAACACAGGAGAGTGAAGACGGGCAAGAGCAAGCCAGTGGGACTGGTGTGCCGGGAGCCCAGGCTGAGGCCGCTGCGCTGTGCTTCCTTTTGCAGGTTGAGGCCTCTGGTGTCTACGCAGCCAGCAAAGAAGGCCGCCATGGGAGAGGTGCGTTGTCCCACGTAGCCAGGGGCAGGGGGACCTCGGGAGGCAGCCCACCCATTCCTTCCTGGGCCTAGATGCTCAGTCTGTGAACCCAGGGACAGCACCCACCCCTGCTGCCCCACACTGGCCTGGCATGGGCAGAGAATCGGGGCCCAAGGAAGGTGGGGACATTTGTGTGTCTGCTGCTCAGCGCTTGGCCAAGGGTGGGCCTGGTGCCTGCACGGAGCCTCTGTGTGGGAAGCAGGCGCTGCCAGGCTACAGAGCCTGGCCCTCCAGGGCTCAGGGTTTTTTTTACCTGGGCTATCACTCATTATCAGGGCCTGGTCTAGCCCAGGAAACCAGGGAGCAGCAGGGAGGGTCCCGGTGCACCTGAAGGTGCCGGCTGGTGGCCGGGGCGGGGGCAGTGGTGCGGGGCTGGAGCAGCAGCCTTTCTGGAGTGCTGTGTTCTGGGGTCCCGCCCCCAGGTGCTAAGGCTGAGGACACTGGCCTACAGTTGTCTGGGGCCCCAGGGATACAGGAAGAGGGGCTGGCAGAGGCCTGAGGGTGGGATCTTGATGCTGGCACAGCTCATGGTGCAGCCCCCAGGAGGCCGCAAGTGGCCAGTGGGCCTGGGAACCCTGGCCAACCCTGGGACCCGCTTGAGTGGCAGGAGTGGCTGAGTGCCCTGGCCTGCCCTTGGGGTCATGAGGGGTCTGCTGAGCGGAAGTCCTCCCTCCAGGGGCCGGGGAAGGCAGCCCCGCTCTGCGTGTGTCAGAGCCCCGCTTCTTTCTAGGGTTTGCTCCCGAGCTCCCTTGCCCTCGGAGCTGAGCCTGCCAGGCCCCAGGCGGTGCTGGTGGAGAGTGGGCCCGTGTCATACCACGCTGATGAGGAGGCTGAGGAGGAGGAAGCCGACGAGGAGGACGGGGAACTGTGCGTCAGTGCCCTGCAGATGATGGGTGGCAACGGTGGGTGTGGCCTGACGGCAGAGAGGGGTCCAGGGAAGCCAAGGCATCGGCTGCTACCCTTCAGCATCCCTGAACGCAGGCCTGTCAGCTTCAGACTGAAATTCTGTTTCTCTCTGGAAAGAAATTTGAGCTAAGACACTCTGTAAATTGGTCATGTCAGTTGTGAGGTTGGAGCCAGCCAGGGTCAGAGAGGTTAGGGACGGTCAGGTACCTCCCATGAGGTCCGCGCAGCCAGCAACATGGGGTTCTTTCTTGGGTTGTACACTTGGCCACGGACCTGCACGCCTAGGGAGGGAGGCCGAGGGGTCCCTTGCTGCTCTCAGGTGCCCTCCATGAGGAGCGAGGCCCTGCTCTGGGTGCCAGTCCTGGGAGGCAGAGAGGAGCCCAAGATGGCACTAGCAGGGCACAGGGGCCAAGGTTGGTAGGGGTGGGGCTGGGCTCCTGGCCCTTAAGAGACCCTTGGCTTCATGACTGCACTCTTCTGCAGACTACGGCTGTGACATCGACGAGGACGACGGCTACTGAAGCGCAGCCTCCAGGCAGGTGGCGTCCTGGGGGGCCTCTCGGGTCTCCTCCGCATCAGGCGGACCCCCAGGGCCGCAGCAGGCAGGCTCTAGTGCCAAGACTCCTGGTGACAGGTGGCGCCTGCCCCGTGGCCCTCGTCCCACGTGGACTTCTCCATTGGAATCGTGTTTCTCTCCGGCAAGGGAAACCCGACCAAGTGTCTCCGTGCGTCTGTTCAGCTGTGGGCCTGGCGTGCCCAGATCTGGGTCCTGCTGCCTGCCGTCGACGCCCCCAAGGATCCTCGAAGGCTGGCACTTTGGCGTTGCTACTGTAGGGAAACAGTCGGGGCAGCCCCACCGCTGATCAGGTGCGTGTGGAGGGCTGCGTGTGCTGACCCTGCGACTCAGGACCAGCTCTGGAGCCCCAAGCCCACCCTCCGCACCGTCCCCTCCCGAGCGGCACTGCGCCAGCGCCCTCTGCCAGAGAGGAAGCTGGAGCCCTGCTGTGTCTGGCATGGCAGTGGCATGGCAGTGGGAGCTGAAGGTTTAGCACTTGAGAGGCGGCAGGTTGTCTGAAGGTCCTTTGCCTCCAGCTGTGGCCCTGCATCCAGATCCTGGCCTCCTCCGAGGCAGACACCCGCACCCTGCCTCCTCCAGGCTCCCTCCCCTCCCTACAGCCTGTACCACCCAGAGCACTACGGAGGACAGACAAGGGGGTCAGACCCTGCTCCAGGTCCACCTGAGTTGTGTGCCTGGGAGCCTCACAGCTGCCAGCAGGTGAGCTGAGACTGTGCATAGTTCTGCAGGTGGTGCAGGCACAGCCTGCTCAGTGCCCTGGCGCTGGGGGTGCCCTGTGGACAGAGCCAGAGCTGTCCAGAAAGCAGTGTCCTTCCCTCTCAGAGCTGGGTCAGGTCCCCCCCATCCAGGAGGGAGGGCAAGCGGAGGCCTCCTCGTGTAAAGGCCCCAGTACCACCCATAGGAGGTCTCAGCTCTGGCATGGCTGCCCTGAATGTGGCTGAGGAGGGGGCTTCACCCTGTGCCCCTAGGAGAGGGTGGTCTTGAGGCAGAGCTGTGCTGCACTGACCCCCGGGGGGCCTCAGGCTCCACATGGAATGGGCTGTATATCCTGCCTTCACTTGGCCCGAAGCAGGCCAGACCCCCCTGCCCCTGCCCAGAGCTTAGCAGCCAGCCGGGTTCCTGCCAGAGTGTCTTGAAGGCTCAGGGGAAGAATAGATTTAGTAAAGCAGAACTCATACTTGACAGAAATCACGTGAGGCCTGTCTGATTCCATGTTGCGATCTGTGTCCAGCTGTCTGGTTGGGTATAGCAGGGGCCACATAGCGCCAGGCTGGAGCCAGCACTTTGCAGCCCAACCCGTTTCTCAGGTCAAGAGCTGGGGCTGTTGGCCACCTGGTTTGGCATGAATATTAGCCCCTGAGGCCCAGAGGCTGCCCTGAGTGAGGGGTGCAGGGTCTGTAGGTTACCCTGACTGCAGCAGCTGTAAGTGGGTGTGTATCGGTCTGGGCTGAATGTGGGCTGGACGTGGGTGTGCCACGGGGGACTGAGTGGACAAGTTCCCGCGTGGACCCCCAGCGCAGTGTGGCACTGGGTGGTGAGTGCTGTGAAGAAGGGGAAACTGCAGGACCAGCCCACAGGGGTGTCACTGAGGCTGTGGTGACAGGAAGCTGCACTGGGCCAGGGTGGATGGGCCTGGGGGACACAGCTGCCACCCGCAGGCCCTGAGGGAGTTGCAGGTGGGCCATGGGGCCTCATGGTGGGGGAGCTTGGAGAGGGTGCTATTAGAGGAGTCCTGAGGACCAGCTGGAGGGGCTCCCGGCCTGGCAGATGCTACTGGGCCAGGCCAGAGATGACAGCCAGGTGGCATGGAGTGGAGGTTTTGTTGGAAGAGGGTGGATTAGGGGGTGGGTGAAACCTGCCACTGGATCCTATTTAGGGAGACCAAGTGTGCGGCTGAGGGGCACAGACGAGGTGGGCAGTGCTCTGTGCAGGATCCAGCCCTCGGCCTGGGTGCTGGGTGGTCGTGTTTGCCAGGTTTTGGGGCCCCAGGCACAGGAGGGCCACAGCTCCGCAGGAAGGAATGAACCCCTTCCCAGGCAGAGCTGCTTTAGGGGCAGTTGGGTGTTGGAGGGGGTTTTTCAGTACAGACGGCCCTGGCTGAGCACCTCTGCTTGGGAGGCTGGGAAAGGATTTCCAGGTTGCATGTGCTAAAGTGGCTTGGCACACAGGTGGTTTAGGATATTGGCTGAAAGGCCTGCCTGAGGCTGGGAGAGGGAGGATTAGAGAGGTGGGTGGGAGGTGAGGGCCAGGGGAAGGAGAGGCCCCAGAGGCAGTGGCTGTCCACACTTTGGGGATGGAAGGGGGAGGGGTTATCACACTGGGAAGTGCAAGTGGGGTGGGGCTCGGGCTGGGCACTGGAGGGGACGGCTCGGCTATGGGGCTGAGGGGCCAGATGGTGACCAGTGTGCCAGAGTCAAGCCCCACGGTGGCTGGAAGGGCGATGGGACATCTCGGGGTTGGTGGGGAGAGGACTCCACAGAGGGTGGGGTGAGGAACACATGATTTGGGTCCCGGAGCCGTGGGGACCAGTGCCACATGGACAGTTGGGTGGCCGAGGTGCTGAGAGGCTGCGGCCCAGGAGTGGACAGCCAGTGTCTGAACGCCTTTGGGTGCTGACCTGAGCCCCATGTTTGGGCCTTCTCTGCCACGACTTGGGAGCCCAGGTGGTGCATTTGGGTCAGTACCCCTCTGTCCTGTAGGTGGCTTGGGGACCACATCTCAGCCCAGAGGATGGCAGGCTGGGAGTGCTGCACGGCCAGCTATGAGCTTGCAGCTGCTCGGGGCCTGCCAGTCTACCCAGCAACACCTGGGGCGGCTTCTCCAGTGCCACAGCCAGACCACGCTGCAGCCTCAGGGAAGGGGGAGCTTGGCTCAGCTCAGCTTGCCAGCTGTCCCCCTGAACGCTGCCTTCCGGGCTGGGCCTGCCAGGTGGGCACACCCCAGCCCTGAGTGGCCACCGCCGCCCCCTGCTGCCTGCTCAAAGGGGCTGTCCGAGACTCTTGGCAGCTGGTGTAGGGACCTGGTGTTCGGTGGCCGCCACCACCCTGTGGATACCAGGTTACAGGCCAGACAGGACTAGAGAGTAGCCAGTTGGGTGCCGTGACTTTGGGGCTCCAGGGCTTTGTCAGAGCGTGTGTCCACCTGTGGGGGTGCCCAGGGGAAGTGGTGGTCTGCACAGCTCCATAGAGCGAGGAGGTGGGCCTGTGGGCTCGGGGTGGGGTCAGGCCCGAAGCTCGGCCCTGAGTGCCGTCGTTTTGGTCCAGCTGTTTGGTGCCCAGATGGCTCCTCCTGTGCAGCCCATGGAGCTGGGGTGGGGAGGGCCCCAGGGGGGATCCCCTGAAGCAACAGAGTTAGAAAGTGGGGCATGAGGTCTGACCCTTCAACTCCTCGCCAAATCTCTTGGGAGGTCTGCCCAGTGACCTCACTCCCTGACCCAGAAAACAAGCTGGGCCACACCCTACAACCCCGGTGCCCCAAGCAGAGGGGCTGCCCATGCCTGCCCACGTGCCCGTGGCCTGACCATGTTGGGGGGCACACTGGCCAGGGGAGGGACAGGCTGGCCATCTGTGTCCCTGACCTTGGCTTCCTCGAGTCCCTGCAGAGGCACTGGTCATCTACAGGCCTTGCTGAGTGGAGGTGCTTTGCAGGAGACCGTGCCGGAGTGGAACCCCCGTGCCCAACCCAGCTGACAGTGGGTGACCCAGCAGCTCTGTCTAGTGCTGAGGAGTGGGGGAAGAGGTGAGCGAGTGTGACCAGCTCCCCTCCGCAGCTGGCTGCCTCATGCTGGGTGGGTGCCTAGAGCCTGACTCTGTAGCTTGGAGTGAGGTTGGGGGTAGGTCCAGCCCAGCTGCTGCTCCCAGTGTGGTGTTCAAGGCCAGACACTCCCCTCCCCACTGGCCTAAGCTGCCTGCGCAGGCTGTGTTTGAGGCAGGCGAGCATCTTCCCAGAGCTGCCAAGAGCAGACGCAGGGCCTCAAGGAGGGCAGGGGAGTAGGGACTGCAGAGGCAGTGGCCCCAGCCGTGGCAGCATGTCCACATGGAGGCTGGCTGATGTTTTACCTGGGGTCTGGCGCCTCCAGCTGCTGGCCTGGGCGGCTTCTCTCCCTCTGGTGTCTTGGGGAGTGGTCCCAACTGGCAGGCTCAGGGCTGCGCAGCCGGGGCATTGTTGGGGTGGCAGGGGGATACCTGCATGGCCTTTCTCCCCACCCCCAGCCTCCTACCACATGTCTGAGGCTCTGCAAGGGCAGAGGACAGCAGCTGGCCCTGTTGGGGAGGGGCACGGGGCCAAGGAACCCCAAGAACCCTGGGTGAGCAGAGCTGTGTTCTGGGGAGCCTCTGCTGACACTGGAGGGACCAGGCCCTGGAGGTTCTCCTGAGGCTGGGGGCTGTCCCAGATGTGGCAAGATCTGCTTCAGGCTGGGAGTGTGACTGGCAGCCTGCCGTTGTTGTCTCTGCCAGGGATACCCAAATTCCCCAGCCTTCCACAGTCCCCAGGATGCCTCATGTGCCCCTGATGTGGCTATGCTGGGCGTGTACCAGCCAGGAACTGGCCTTCCATGGGGGTTGAGCACATTTGCATGTGAGTGTGTGCCAGGACAGCCTTGGAGTGTCCTGGACTTCTGGCCTGTCATGGCATTTGGTATTGTGTACTGGGAACTTTTTGGGACCAAGGGCCAGGACCCAAGGCCGGCCAGGCCCCTCTGTTCAGCCCCCAGCTCAGCACACATTGCTCAGGGCAAGGGGGCAGGAAGCACCAGTGTCCAGCCCAATTTCAGGTGGGGCATAGTGGGCGGGTTTGGCCCATTCAGGCAGCCACTGAGCTTTCCTGGGCAGCTTCCTGACCTGCCCCAAGTCCAAGTCACCTTTGCCTGAATGCCACAGGGGAGGTCAAGGCAGGGCAGGACCCGAGGGCCACATGGCTTCTGGCTGCTGAGCTAGTGTCAGCCAGCCAGAGTGAGCATGGAGCTCGCAGCCACGGGGGCACACATGTCCAGGCACATGCCCATCCACAGAGCAATGCATAATGCTCTTACATGTGCCTGTGCACACCATTACGTGCGCATGCCCTTCCGTGCACACCACACCCTCCCACAGGCTCGATACTCAGGCACAGCACACGTTCATGTGCACCCAGTACACACATACACATGTGTGCACATTGATCACATGCATGCTGCTTGCACTCATCTCTCACCGCCATGTGCACAAGCACGAGCGTGTGTGCCCTGACCCACACCTGGATGCACAGATGCTAAAGGCCTGGGGCCTCTGAACCAGCTCAGGATGTTGGGAAGACCAGAGGAGTGCTTCCAACTGGCCACAATCCACACCCATCTGGTAGCAGAGCCCTCAGACACCTGTGGGCCTGTGCATTACCTCTTTAATTGTTAATCTTTTCATTGAGCTTGAGTCATGCTATGTTGCCCAGGCTGGCCTTCAATTCCTGGGCTCCAGCGATCCTCCCACCTTGGCCCCCAGAGCAGCTGGGACTGCCCCCACCGTCCTGGGAATGCTCTGGGAGTTTCTCCTTGCAGGGCATACTGACAGGGCCTGGGAATCACCAGGCCTGCTCCTGCAGCCACTCCCCACAGATGCGGGGTGTGGGGGAGGAATGGTTATGGGGTTTGTGTCTGGTGACTGTCACTTGATGGTCACACAGCACTGGTTGGCCACCCAGCCCGTACCAGTGCTGTGTGACCTGGCACCCGTTCCGTCTCTTGGCCACAGAGTGGGGAGTGAGGGGAGCTTTCTGCCAGGGCAGGGAGTGGGGAATGAGGTGGCACCAGGGTGGGTGAGCACTCCAGTGTAGCCCCCTACTTCCTCAGGCCCCTGGAAGAGGGGACAGTAGAGGGGCCCAGGGCAGCCTGAGGCTCCACTCACCCCCAGGGGTCCTCTGCTGCCCACGTCTGCTCTTCCACCAGACAGGTCCCTGGTCAGCCCAGGCACAGTGGGTCAGGAAGGGCCTGGGCTGAGCATTACTGGAGCTGGAAGGGGCACCTATGTGGCCTCTGCCCCACGACCTTGCTTCCCACTGCATGTCTGAGGCTCGGCAAGGGCAGATGTGGCAGCCCCTGAGGATGCCCCTACCTCTCCCTGCGCCTCCTACCCTGCCCTTCTACTTACTGCCTTCCGCCCTCGCCCCTCCCTCCACCTACCACCCTCCATCTCCGCCTCCTGCCCCACCCCTCCCTC